ATGTATTTTTTCCCATTCAAATTTATGAATTTTATTGAATTTTATTGGCTTCTTAATTAAAAACCCCTTTATTAGAGTGTTTATCACAGTATGTTATAGACTAGGGGTTTAAGGAAAAGTTGTTGTAATTGTTATCATCATCATCATCATCACAATTGTCTTAATTTCAGAAGGTGGAATTATCAATTTCACAATAATGTTTTAAGGTTTTTTACAAAGGACTATAAATAATTAAGAAGTTGAAAATACACTAACAGTATGGAATAGAATATGACAGTATCACTTTTTAATTAAAACCCTCTGTGAGCATATTTTTTAAAGCCAAAATATAAAGGCTTAGAAATATCAACAATTAGATGACCACCTATCTCTAAAGATTTTTTTAATTTATATCTGTTTGACAACTTTTTTTCTTTTCAGCTATAATCCTAGTATATTGTTATTCCCATCTCACGACTCATCTCCACATTTAGTCACATTGAAGAGATAAATATTTTGGCTTTAAATACCAATGAAAATTATACAAATCTCTTCAGAAGACTCTTGAAGTGGCAGCAATAGGAGACTTCTATGACCATTATCCAAATATCCAGTAAAACGTCCTAAAAACTTTTCTTAACCATCTTTCCCTCAAAGACCCATTTATGGGCACTGCTTCCACCAGGCCATGTTTTCTTCCTCTTGTTCATTTATCTTAAGAGTACAGTTCAATAAATTTCTTACAAACTGAATTTACCAAGCACCTAGATGAAGAAATAGACCATTATCCTAAAGTCCCCTCAGGCTCTCCTTCGATATTACCTGATCCAACAAGGGAAGCATTACCTGACTTTTAACAGCTTAGATTCATTTTGCCTGTTTTGTTCTTTTAGAAACATAGAGTACTCTCTGAGTTTGGCTTAATTCAATCCACGTCATGTTTCTGAGGTACATCGTATTAATGCATGTAGTTGAAGTGATTAGCTGCTGAATAATTTTCCATTGTGTGAACATACCACAGTTTGTCCATTTCTTTCTTTATGGGCATTTGGATATTTTCCAGTTTGGGGCCTTTAAGAATAGTGCTGCTGTGAATATCACAGTTCTGGGTCTTATCTGAACATGTGAATGATTTCTATTTGGCATTTACCTATGAGTGGAATTACTGGCTGTGATTGTATAAGCTAACAACACACAGGATGGAATGATCAAATCAGACTCATGTAAATCACAGGTCAAGCTTTATCCCTTAGCAAACTTTACTAAATAATTTCAATTTGAAGGCAATTGAGAATTTCGGAAAGAGCAGAGAGAGGTTTTAGGGCATCAAGGGTGGTTTCCCAGGTCTTGCCTTTCCTTGGCCAGCATGTCCCCCTGGCCCAGAATAATAGATGAGATCTCTGGGTTACACTTGTTGGGTCACTTCACACAGCAGGGGCATTTAAATTGTGAAGCCAGAGAGTTGTGTAGGTTAGGCCAGAGTCTCCAGAGGGCCATTTCTCATATATCCTGGGCTCTTTCTGTATAGGTAATCTTTAACCAGGACACCCTGCCAAGGACATTTCAGATTTAAGGTCACTTTATCCTAGAAAATATCATTAGTCTATTTATCTGTAGGTCTAGTTATGAAGGAGATTAGATTGGATGACCCCACTAACCTTTCTCTCAAGAGCCTCCCTTTGATAAGGGCAGTGAATGGATTAAAACTCAGTAGGTTTAACCCCTTCCTTTTAGCCTGGGCAGCTGTAATAGAAACTGCCAGAGTTTTACAAAGTAGTTTTATTAATTTACTCTCCCAACGCTAGCATATGCACATTTGGATCGTACTACATCCTCACCAACGTTTAATTTCCATTATTATCAATTTGTTTATTTTTCTTTTCATCGTTATGGTAGGTATATAGTGAAATCTCTGTGGTTTTAACTTGCATTTCTTTGATGACTGATGAAGTTGAACAAGCCTTTTCATATCTTTATTGGCTTTTTAGATATCCTCTTTTCAAAATATTTGTTCAGAAATTTTGCCCATTTTCTACTGGGTTTGTGTGTCTTTTTCCTATTCATCTGTAGTTCTTGAAAATATGCAGAATGGGTTTTTTTTTTAAAGATATAATGTATTGTGAATATCTTTTTCCACTGCATGTCCTGCCTTTATACTCTCATGCTAGTATTTTTGATGAGTAGAAATTCTTAATTTTATTATCTAGTTTTCCAGGTTTTTAAAACGTAAAGCCACCTACTAATGACCTTGCAATTTTCTCCACCTATTTGCTCTAATTAGGGGAAAAAAGAACCCAAGGAAGCCTGAATAAAGATGATGCCTTAGAAGAGGAGAGGAGAACTGTAATTGATTTTGCTTCTACTTTGTCCCTTTGACACGGCCACGTAATTCATGTTGTCATACCTTATGCTCTGAAGGGCTGGCCCTGTTACCTTCTGACAGTTTTGGCATTAGAAGGCCTGAGAGTTTTGGGTTTTTCATGGCTCATCAATATCTATCAACAACAACAAGAAAATATTGCCTAATTCTTACTTTCCACATCACAAATGCAGAAACTGTGTGTGTGTGTGTGTGTGTGTGTGTGTGTGTGTGTGTGTGTGTGTGTGTTCTGTACCCAACACTACATGCAGGTACATTCCATACCTGCTTTTGTTCTCTGGAGACAAAGCAGTTTCAAAAGCCTTCAAGAGGGAAATGGACTTTATCACCAACTCCTTACTTCAGCCCCTTCTTAATGATTTACATGTTTGAGCAGCACAATTGTAAGAAGTTTGTTTATAGTGTCTTAAATCTAAATATGTAACTGGCATTTGGCATGGTGAAGTTTTTGGATTTTAGCCATTCTAATAGGTATGTAATGATATATGGTTGTTTTAATTTGCAATTCTCTAATAACAAATGATGTTGAGCATACTTTCATATGTTTATTTGTCATCTGTATATCTCCTTTGATGAAGTGTCCAAAGCTTTTGCCTGTTTTCTAATTGGGTGGCCTGCATTCTTGTTGAGTTTTAAGAGTTGAGGCTAGAGTTGGATAATTGCTCTTTTCTCAAGTAGGCTAAGGAGTTTTTAAATTCTTTTCCCTTGGAGAGTAGCCCTTTGTTATGGAGAAAAACTCAGGAGGTATTTCAAAATGGTTACTGTTCTCCTCCCCCAGGGAGAATCCTAAAGGATTTTTTTTTTTTTAATCTTCACTGTGAGAACCTGATAGTGGGGTTCCTGGAAGTAAAACAATGAAAATCTGTGGACCCCTCCTAAGGCTGGGCCCTCAGATGTTTTCCCACTCAAGTTAGTCTATACACAGCCTCCAGCAATTCATCAAGATTACCCTTTAATTGTTTCTACCAGTTTATGGCTCTATCAGCTTCTGCTCCAAATATACTGACCCCATCTGTGATTCTCTGTATTCATCTTATCTTTCCAGATTATTGAGGTGGCGGTTTGCCCTATGACCCCAGTTCTCTAGTGAGCCCAAGAAAAGTCATTGATTTTCAATTTGTTCAGCTTTCTTCTTATTGTAAGGACCAGAGTAACTACTTCCAAGCTCTTTACATGTCAGAGCCAAAACTGGAAGATCTTTTTTATAAATAAAAATATGTGGAACTTTGTATTTTCTTCTGGATTTGTGACTAGTATAAAATTATGACTACCATAACGTTTTCATAGTTTCTTAGTCAAGATGACTTTAAAATAAAACTGAATATACTTAAAATTAAAGTAGTCAAATCTGAGTGATCCAAAGGCTCGTTTTACTTACAGACTGCCTGTAGCTATGCCTACTCACATTTGCCCAAGTGTCTGATAGAGAGCAATGTTCTTAACTCAAATAAGACTCCCTAACGTGTTCGGGAGTGGGGAGAAAATGAAGAAAAAAAAATTCAAGACCCTCTTTTTCTCTGTTAGATGCATAAGGGTAAAAAGTGAGGGACAAAGTTGAAGCTAATAGATAAAATGAAGTTTTAGGATTGTGGAAATGAATTATATTTTCTCATGCCTCCATTATCAACCCTAATATCAACCCTTGAGTAGGCTATATACAAAATAGGAGTGGAAAGAGTTTGGTGGATATTATTAAGGGAAAAACCTTGCAAAGTGTGAGATTCATTCTCTTCATTTTGTCAAAATTTTTCACTTTGCAATGGCTAGCAGAGTTTTCAAAGCCTCTGTGTCATATTTATCATCAGAGAAGCCTTATTCTTTTCAAGGTTTGAAAGTCTTTTAAAGACCCACTTTTGTAACAATTTGCTTCCACTAAAAAAGAAGGGCTATGCATTTGCATCTGGGATGTTTGTCATTTCCTATGAGTTATATCATGAGATTAAAAAACAAAAATTTTCCTGCATATTATGAGGTGATATCCTTGGAGCATTCTTTCTGAAGATCATAGAAGCTAATTTGGGAGGCAAAAAAAATTAAAAATGCTTTACAAACATTAATGCTTAATTGGCAAAGTATCTCTATGGCTATATTAACAAGAAAGTATCATTCAGAACATTTGTTTCCTAAAAGAACTCTATATGTCAGTTACCTATTGCTGCTTTTAAAAACACCTCAATGTTTAGTGGCTTAAAATCACAAGTTTTTATTATGTTTCATGGTTTCTGTTGGTCAAGGATTTGGGAAGGACTCGACCAGGCAGTTCTCTGTTGGCACCTCTCAGGCAGTTACAGTCCTATGTCCGCAGGAGCTCAAGGCATGTCTGGGGCTAGAATGTCTGCTATAAGGTGGCTCACTCAGATAGCTGGCGACTTGATATTAACTATTGGCCGCAGCTGCTTCTTCCACCTGGGTCTTTCCAATGTGTAGCTTTAGAGTCCTCCTGGCACTCGCAGCTGGCTCCCTTAGAGTAAACAATCCAGGAACCCAAAGGCCCAAGGTGGAAGTTGTAGAGTTTTTTATCATCTAGCCTTGAAATCCCACTACATTCTATTGGTCAAGAGCGCAGTGAGCTCAGCATGGGAGGGTCCTGGGCAAGGGCTTAAGTAGCAAGAGGTGTGGCTCATTAAGAACACCGTGGAGGCTGGCTACTACACGAACATTCATTTCTTAGTTTTAGAGGTATGTAATAATTTATATCACTTTTGATGTGCACTTTTTAAAATTACTTTTCCCCCCACAACAGTTCCTTAGAAGTAAACCCACCTCTGTTATTCACTGTTTTTTATACTTCTACAATTATTTTTATATAGTTGTAATAGTGTCATGGGTTGAATTATATTCTTGTTTTTTTGTCTTCAATATTATTTTTAAAAACCTAAGTGGAAAAATGTTTCACAGTAATAGCAATACGAAAAGTTAGCACCATCTACTCAAATCCAGCTCTGTGTCTGTAAGAAAATAGTCTAGATCTGTATTTCCCAAGAGGTATTCAGTGTGTGAGAAGTTTCAGGGTTCGATACAGTCATGATATCCTGGGTTTCATAAAGTTAAACGTGCCTTCGTTGTCTAGCTGTATTCTTTCACAACATTAGCCTTTAATATTCCACATTCACTGCAGATTTCTAACAGGGCAAAAGAATACACAGAATTTCCCTACATTATTGAATCATGGGACACATTGCCCTTAGGACAGTTTGCATTGGTGTTTCATGAAATATATTTTAGAAAGTGCTAAATATTTTATCCCACCCACATGTTGTCTCTGTTTAAAATTTAGAATTACTAGCATTGTTAAGGTCTGGACCCTTCTGTCTGCCTTCCTGCCATTCGCTTCACCTTGCAGCCGGCATGTTCTTTGAAAATGCAAAGCTCACCCTATCACCCAGCTGCATACAATCTTCAAATAATCTTCCAGGTTTCTTTTTTTTAGGGTAAGATACAATCCCCTTAATGAGACCCTACATGGTCTGGCATCTTCACGTGTGCGCCCTTTCTCCTCTCTCTGCACTCACACTGACCTCTCCGTGTCTATCTGCTATAGCCGTGCCTCAGAGATATTGTGGGTTTGGTTCCAGGCCACAATAAAGTAAATCATCTTTTTTTTGCCAGTGGAGGGTCTTGCCTTCAATTTGTAAGAAGTTAATGCAACATCTGTGAAGTGCAATAAAGCAAGGTATGCTTGTACTTGCTATGCTCTTCCCATCACAGGGATGTTTCATTTGCTCTATCTTCTGCCTAGAACACTTTTTACCTTCCCTCTATATCTGATTAATTACAACTGATTCTTCAGATCTAAGCTCAAGTGTTTCTTGAAATTTCCCTCACTAATATTACTCAATTATAAGCATGTTTAACCCTTTGAAATACTTACAATATTTACAATCTTGTATTCGCTTGTGTTATTTGATTACACATTCTGTCACCTACATAAATTACAAGTTACATGAGGGCAAAGACTTCTTGACTACCATTTTAGATGTGTTCCATAAATACTTTGCAAGTAAATTATTGAGTGCCCTCAGGAATCCCCCTTTCCTCTCTGTCACATCACCATGCTCATTCAGGACTTTATCATTCCATCCTTAAATTTCTGTTGTCATCTCCAGTAGATTTTCTTCATTTCTAGATCTTATGGAACACCACAGCCGACTTCTCTTCCAAAGCTACTGTATTCCATATGCTATTCTTTTACTGAAATACTTTCTGTGGCTGTCCCATATTCAGAGCAGGGTTTGCAAACCCAAATGCTTTCAGGTGAAGTAAAAGTGGGAAGTATTTTGCTTCTGTTAAAGCCCACAGACCACCAGTTTATGACCCTATTTTATAATGTATTTAAAGAAGATGCCTGTATTCCTTTGTTTTGTACTCAGGCCACTCTTAGATCTGAATTTAAGTGGCATCTCCAGTTCTAATTTGTTTTAACTGCTATATCAAAAGCAGCCTCTCTGCTTACTAACCCCTGAACAACTGCTTACTTTCACCCTAACTTTCAGATACCTGTGTCCCTGGTCACCACATTTCCTTAACTCAGAGTCCTCTTCTTCCAGATTGACACCTTTCAGGTCCTTCAAAGGCAGAAACATTTTCTATATCCCACATCACTGCCCCAGCAGTGCTATTGTAAATAACACAAATATTAAAGTGAAATGATATGTTTTATGTATTTATAATCTGTAACAAAATTATTAGTGCTATTTGCATCTCTTATTATCCAAAATAGTCATTTAGTAAGTGTATAGTAAATGTTTGTCAATTGCTTTAACAATCAGCAGCAGCTATCATTACCAGGTGAAAAGGTAGAAAAAAAACTCCTTGGAGCATTACTTGTTGGACTGAAGTCACTCTTGAGATTAAGACTTGATCATTTTTATGTGGGTGCTCTCTTTTAAATGAAGCCATCAAATCAAATTTCATTTTCCCTGTTATCAACACCGGTATGTATTCATTTAATGAACTGTGGTTAGGAAACTATAAAAGTTAAAAAATAAAATAGCTCAGGAAGAAAGTATGGCAAAAGGGGCTGCCATCCTATCTCATGCAAAACAATGAAGAAATTACTTATGTTATTTTTGCTGGTCCCAGGAAAACAGATGTTTAAAATGAATTTGAGGTAGAACATTGTGAAGGATGATGGTCTAGAATATTTAGGAAATATTAGAGCAGCAAACGTATTTCCAAGGAAAGTGCCACAAAAGTCCTGGAAATAATCCAGTAGTAACACATTTTTTGAGCTTGGTTGTCAGTTCCACCAGTGATTGAATGAGATCTGAAAAGTCTGATGTGCTGTGGAAGAAATGCAGCCATAGCAGAAAGTAACATGGAGTCAGTGCTTTGATGTTACTCTTGGATCCTACAGTAGAATTATTGCACTAGAAAAACTCACCATGAGGAAATGACTAATATATGTTGCCTGTTTTTATTTAATGTGTGTTCTTATACTTTATTTAGAACAACCACAATCTTTTAATTTAGAGCAGAAAAAATAGTTTTATGAATAGAGATAACAAGTTCTTGGAATTTATCTATGGCTGTGTATGTAGCATTGAGCTAGTCATTATGAATCTCTTCGTTTCACACTCGGAAGTAAGCACATGAAAAAATTTTACCAGAGAAGGCTCTTAAATTCTGAGATTTTGAAATTGAAATTTTATATATCACTTCTGTTAATGGTAACAGTGAGACAGTGTATATATTTATAAAGAACCTATGAAGTCTAGCATTCTTCTTGTATAGTTCATATGAAATCTGTATCTGTATAGTTCATATGAGAATTGTATGTTATACAATTCAAATTATTATGTATGATGTTATTGTTTTTTGATATGGGTTCTATTTTATTGATTTTTGTACCCAAAAGGCAGCATCTCTATGTCCTTGCATTGATGCAGAATAAATTATAATTAATTTCCACTACCTTTCTCCCTACTGGCAGCTTGTCTGAGAAGAACAAGGCCCATGTACTACAACAGAACGAACTAGGAGAGTGTCTCAGGAGGGAGAATTGCTGATCACACCCTGCAAGTCCCTGTAAGTAATTTTAAAGGCTTCAGTTTTATTTTGTGAGATTGGAAATCACTGGAAGATTCTGAACAGAGAGGCATCATCTGATTTTCATTTTTAAGAGACTGCTTAGGCTGAGATGTTGAAATTGTGAAGTGGCTAAGGGTGGAAACAGAAGGCCAGTGAGGAGCTAATCACAATAATGCAAAAGGGAGGGGCCGGTGGCTCCAGCTGGTATTAGTGAGGGACATGGTGGGTGTGGTCAGACCCTGGATAGATTTTTAAGGTGATGTCAAGAGATTCCCTGGATTTTTCTCATCCCAGATGACTCTTCCACTGGAAGAGTAGACCTGCAAAGTGTATCAGAGAGGAGGAGGGCTCACCCAGGTTTCAAACTGCCCATTGGCCAAGGAGGATGAGGACTGAGAAGTGACAATTGGTGATGTGGATGTTATAGGTGCCCTAAATAAGAGCAGTTTTGGTAAAGTTGGACATAAAAGACATTGGAATGTGAGAATGGAAAGAGGGCAATTGGAGACAGTGTAGACCACGCTTTCAAGGAATTTTGCTCTAGGAAAGCAAAGCAATGTAGTGCTACTTGGCAGCAGATAGAGAAAGGAAAAATGGCTTTTTTATTTTAGTATGGCAAAAATAACTACATTTATATGCTAATAAACTAGCAGAGAAAATGTGTTGCTGTAGGAGAGATGGAAGAGAATTGCCAGAATGAGGTCCTTGAGTAAGAAGGAAGGGATGGAATCCCATGTTCACGAGGGTGGGCTAGTTCTAGATGGATGTAGGTGAGGAGAGCTCATCTCTAGTAACAGGCAAAAAGGCAGAATATGTAGGCATAGATGCAGAGAGGGATCTGAAAGTTCTCTTCTAATTGCTTCAATTTTATCAGTGAACTAGGATGCAAGGCCAGCAGCTGAAAGTGAATTTGGGATGATTATTGTATCCATTAATGGATATAGCCTGGCAGATGGTGATGTTGTAGATCTCAGAAGGTTAGGTCAGGCTGAATCAGGTCTCCCGCCAATGCCTGAACATGACTGGAGAGTAGGAGGAGGTGAGCAGAGAAATCTGAGTCTAAATTTGAACTATGCAGGACATCAAGACCCCAGCAAAGTAACCTGGGGCTCAGGATATGTATTGATTGTGGTGCGATCTGGAAAACATGCCAAAAATGAAGGCAAACCATGGGGGAACCCTAAATAAAGAGTGGACCCAAGTCTGTGTGTATTTGAAGCAAAGAACACATCCTAGCGACAGCTAAACCCAGCAGAAACACTAGCTCCTTATCCTACTTCTAATATTCTGCTCCGGTGCTGGGAGGCTGATCCAACACGTGAAAGCCCTTTGTTGCCTGGAGTTTGAGATTGTTGAGATGCACAGAAAGTTGCACCATTCAGCTTGTTTTTTAGGCCATCTTCATAATGTCAAATGGTGGAATCCTATCAATTATGTTACCGTTTTGTCCACACAAGCGTGTAAATTTAAGCAAACAAATGAATGCTAGTCTTGTTCCAGCATGGTTTCGGTATGTCAAAATAAAACAGTAATTTCTAAGTGCAGCATAGTAAAATGTTGTGATATGTATCCCTTTTAAACAATTCAAATGTTTATATACACGGTAACATGTTATTCTGTGAGGCATATACCATCATATTAACTGAGAAAGCTGGGTCAAACAGAAGTAAAATCTCCAAGTTCACAAAGTGGTGGAGTGACAGATTCAGAACTCGGTTCTGCTTTGGATTCAGAGAACACTTAAGTTGCTGTGTGCGAGGCACCCTGTTGGGCAGTTTGTTTTGGCCTCCTGATTTCCAGCCCTATGCTCTTTTTTAAAAAAAATATCATCCTGAGAAAGCTTCTATCATCAAAAGAACTATTTTTGGTTTATGCTAAGTAATGTGAATGTTCACACCTTGTATTCATCAATATGCTCCTATTTTTGCTAAGTGATTTCAACTTAAATGTGCAAACATCTTCACAAAGCGGAGCTATAACTATTTCTCCTGCAGAATTCCAATGCCCATGTTCCAATCCTTTTGTTTAAGATATTATTTTTCTGAAAGAGTCTTTTTTAAAATGGGGACTATTTTCAATTTGCTTGTCAATGAAGAAAAGTGTTGATGTTGTTGGTAGTAAGACAATACCAGTGAATTCAAGTGCTGCCTTTTCTCCAATGAATACTGTTTTTTAACTTCAGACAAGTGTGCGTAGCAGAAAAATACGAGGCAGTGAGACAACTGTGCCATTTTTGCACATGCATTCATCTTGTAGGCAGGTGTTTATAGCTACTTTAAATGAGTGTTCAGATAATATGGTGCATTTTGTCATCACTATGCCAGAGCACGTAATCAGACTCAAGAAAGAGATCTGTACTTAAAGAAATCTGTCAATAAGTTGACAAAGCTGATCTCTGTAAAGAGCTAATGGGCTTGACTCTTTTAAGTGCTTGCTTGGGAGAGCATTATGAAGACAAACCGTCTAACAATGCCAGTGGCAGTGCAGGCTAAAGCTTCAATTATTTACTGTACTAGTATTTTAAGATCAATATTCCTTTAATTTATACAGTTTGGAACCAAGATAGGACTTTACATCTCAGTATTTCATTCTAGTATCTGGGCAAGGTTGTTTTTTAAGACGAATGTATGTGACTATTTGAGAATTCCATCATGATGTGAGAAACGTGGCATGGGTGATAATAAAGCATGTGTATATATTAAAGGTCTTTCTTTAGGAAACATGGGGCCAGGAATTGGTACACTTGTTATGTTCTAAGTGTATTGATCAAGTTCTTTGACTTTCCTTTGCCTAAACTTGTTGCTTTTCTGAAATCATAATGGCTTCTTAATAGAGCAGTGCAAGTACCAGTGGGCATAGTTACTTTAATAAAGAGCTTACACATTAGAGGAACTCTCAAAGGAATTGTTCAGAAACATGTATTTAAAAGAGGATTTTCAGTTCAAAAATCTAAAACTAGAATTGAGTTAGCAGTTTCATTGCTAAAAAAGATAATTTTTATTGTTTAAAAAAAAAAACAAATATTTTCCCTGGGGCTGCCCCATTGCTCCTACCTCATTCCTTTAAATTTTTTATCCTGTTTTACATTAACTTTATTTTTAAATAATCTTATGTTTCAAAAATCTAAAAAATATAAACAGGTATACATTGAGAAGTTTTGTTCCTACCCTAGTTTCCTTCCATCCCCAACAAAGGATAGTTATGAAAAAGAACCTTTTTTATTGATAATATTTGTTGGGCATCTCTAAGCTCTCCGGGGTGCAGCCTTCCTTCTCAAAGGTGAATCCATTCCAAGTGAAGCTAAGTAAAGCCTTTCTAGTTGTATCACTGAATAATTGCTATAAACACAATGCAGGCAAAAACTATAGAAAATATTCATATTTCTCTTCCCCCTTTGTCTGTGTAACACATACATATATCAGCTCCAACAGTGGAAAAGTCCACTTTTCTATGGATTTGTAAATACAACAAAATTTCCCTGTATGTGAAGTGATTCAATAGTTCAAAGACAGAAGACAAGTGAGACAAAATGTCCCCTGTGGAACTGACTTCTTCAAGAAAAATGACAAAGTTAAAAAAAAAAATCAATTACTATATCTACTTAACAAAATTCAAGACAATATTGCATTTATATAAACGGAAGCATTATAAGCTAGAAAGCTTTAATTTCAGGTAACTCATGATGACTGAATTTGAAAAAAACAATTGAGTCATGAAACAGCAGGTTAGTAGCACAGAAAACTGCTTCAGTGAATTAGAAGAACAGTTCAAAAAACTATCAGAGAACCCTGGGAATAAAAGAATAAGGTATAAATGACATGAAAGATAGATCCAGGAAACCAAATGTAGGTATAATAAATACATTAGAATGCTTCCCAAATGCTCAAGAGTATAATAACCACATGGACATATTTAAAATGCTGTGTTCTGTGCGCCTTCCCCAGGGGTGCTTGTTCTATATGTTGGGGGTTGGACTTACGTTTGTCTAGTTTTCAAAATAAGAACATGTAATAATTTTAATGGTGTGGATATTTTGGGAAACACTACCAAAAATGAAGGGAAGAAACCCAAACAAACCAATAAGACAAAAGGAAATTTAAAAATTGTG